GGAGGTCCAGGTATTTGTATCGGGGTCCCAGCATTCCACAGAGCTCTCGTGCTTCCGATAGTTGATGCCTTGACACATGTGGGTGGCAATCCCGCCAATCACATAGATTTTCTGGTCAAGGACACAGACCCCAAACTCATAGCGAGGGACGCTTAGAGGCGCCAGTCCTATCCAGGAGTCATTCTGGGGAAAGTACATCTCCACGCTAGGAAAGGAGAAAAAAAGCAAGAGAGGCCAAAAGGGCAAAGCATGAAACTCACAACAAGGCAAAACGCCATGGCATCTGGAGTAGTCTTCTGTCCAGTTCAATGCGGATATTAACATGTTGGAATGTGTTTAGAGAAGGAGATCAAGATTGGAAAAGGTGTGGAAACTAAGAGGAACAACTTAGGGAGCTGGGTATGTTTAGCTTGGAGAAGACGGAGTTGTGTTGTTTAGAACTGTTTAACAATGGAATGTGATTCTATATTTCTACTTTTGATCCTCAGTCTCCCAGTTCACTCTTCCTTTTCTGCTGGTTAGATGTGCCTAACAACTCACCTGCTCCTAAATTTCAGTCAACCAGATGCCACTGGAACTTTGGACAACTTACTTTTTGTAATTGTGCTTAGATGATCTATATCTAAAGCGATTCCTTAAAATATTCTGTCAGTTTGTTTGGAATAGCAGCCTAACATTTAATAAATCTATTTCTGCCATGATCACAAGCCTTTTCCTCAAACTGGGACTTGAAAATCGAAAAAGGAAACCATGGTCCAAAACACACTGCAGAAATAATCCAGTCCGAGAGCGCTTTAAGTGCCCTGACTCACTGCTAGGGAATTCTGGGAAGTGTAGTTTTGTGAGATATTTAGCCGTCTCTAGTTTTTTGTGGGTTTTCCAGGCTGTGTGGCCATGTTCTAGAAGAGTTTCTTTCTGATGTTTTGCCAGCATCTGTGGCTGGCATCTTTTAGCCTTCTCTGTCAGAGAGCTCTGGTCACAATAAACTACAATTCCCAGGATTCCCTAGCCAGGGCAGTTAGTGGTCTCAAACTGGATTATTTCTGCAGTGTGTTTTGGACCCACAATAGATAACTGCTTGCTGCATTTGTTAATCCTTCACTAAAATGAGTATTCAGACATATTTGCTCTCTCTCTCTCTCTGTGAGTGTGTGTGTTTAAGGAGATAGAGAACATTTTTTTACACAACATAGCCTGCCACAAGGCACCTATAGAGGCACAAATGAAGCTCCTAAATGCAGCCAAACCAGAAAGCTGCATTTCAGAAATGTTTTGCCTATTATAAAGAGACAGTTTCATTGATTTCCTAAGATTTTTCAATTCTTCCAGTGACCTGCAAGACCTAGAGTAGAACTCTGAGAGCTGACAAACTGTCACCTATGTCCTCTCACTGGCAGAAAAAACAATGAAAGATTCCCAGCTCATCTAAGTATCAAAACATCATGGATTTCACAGAGATATGCAAGTAAGACTAGCATAATACTGGATCAGCAAAATCACCCCATAAAGCCAGCTAAGCAGGCCCCTACTAGGTGAGGCATGAAGCCAAAGTCTTACAAACCTGAGTCCAAAGAAACATCTAGATTATACATATCCACATCTTGCCTTGTGTGGATACAAAGAAACATGATCAATAAAAATCATTTCAGAGACTGTCCACTCAGCCTTAGAAGCCTTGGGAGAGAGAGACTTTTATAAAAACAAAATCCTACATAAAGTCTTGAAAAGAGAGACAAAACCAGAGTTCACCAAGCCAAAGAGTTTCACAGGGTTTGTGCTATTAAATCTGGTAAAGGGACATGATTTTACCTACAGGAATTTTTGTAGCTCTTGCTTATACTTGCTATGAATGACTCTCTATCTTTCAAACTCTGTGTTAAATTTTGCTTTACTCTGCAAGGTATTTTGAAGTAGAGAATATAAGGAAGCGTGTCTCAAGAGCAATCTCAATTCAAAAGTAATTTACCGTAAAAAGAACTGGTATTCTGGTATATACCACAGCATCAGTCCAGGAATGACACCTGGCGATTAGAGATTTCAACATGCTAAATTAACCTCTCAGGTTATGGATGGCAAAGTACAGGAGGCAAATTTTGGAGAGAAATCTGTACTAAGTTATAATTTGTCATAAACGAAAAGTATCATTTTGTTAGGCTCAGCTGTATGACGTACAAGCCAGTGCCTGCTGCTCTGACTTGTAAAGAGAACAGCCTGCCACCAACCTTGGTCTCATTCTGGTGTCAAGTAAAAACAATGCCCTTTACTGAAGCTTCTGGTTGCCTACACTTGTGTACCTGAGCAGCTGCTAAGATGCCTTCCCTCCATTCTAACTACCATTCTCCATTCTAACTACCAAGTTTTTAAATTGAAATGGAATGATGTTTTAAATAGTAATGATTTAATATTGTTTTAAGGGGGGGTGGGGGGTGTTTGTATTATATGTTTTGTTGGATTGTTATTTTAAACTTGTAAGCCGCCCTGATTGGATTACCACAGGGTGGGATATAAATACAGTACATTTTATCATTATTATTATTATTATTATTATTATTATTCTCAGAGCTCTGAGGAAAACAAAATCAAGGAGGCAAAGCTCCAGAGAAGAAAAGGCAGGCACAGCTCCACCATGCCTAGCCCCAAGGCATATGAAAGGCCCTCCCTTCATGCCAGCTCCCACTGCTCTGGCCTCTGAGGGAGAGAAGAGCAGCCAGCATGTGCTGGACTTACATCTCCTTCTCCATTGCCATTCCCTTTTTCTTTTGTGTCTTGATTTATTTAGACTGTACGCATGCCTGAGGGCAATGAACTGTCAAATCAATGATGTGTAAACCACCCTGGGAGTCTTTTTGACTCAAAGGTAGCATATAAATACTCTAAGATAGGTCGGTAGGGAGATATTTTAGATGTTTAAATTATTTTAAATGTGTGGTCCCCACACATTCACTGGGGTTAGGGGTGAAGGACCCCTGTGAATGTGGAAAAATCCCAAATAAACAACACTATTCTTTTTACCTGAGAGAACACCTGTCTAGGAATCTCCAGGTCCTCCAGTGCAACTCTATGGTCAACATTTGCCAGAAATTAATCACTGAATTATGTTGCAGTACCTACAAATACTTAGAGGTGTTTTCTCTGGGAACTTCTAGGTTCTGCAGCACAACTCTATGGTCAACTTTTGGCAGAGTACCACTGCAGCACCTAGAGATTCCTAGAGAGAACATATTAATAAAAACCACTCCACTAAAGTCAAAGCCACAAATGTGGAGGACCAACTGTATCTGGTTTTAAACTGCCCTGTTTTAAGAGTTAATTGGTTTAACGTGCTTTTACCCTTTGGAACAGTTTTTATTCTTTTTTTTTTTTAAATTCTTTTTGTTTAATACTTTTTCAGATGGATCTTGCTGTATGCTCCCCTGAGATTCCTGGATGGATCTAAGGCAGGCTATAAATACTTAGACAAACAGGAATAAACAAAAAACCAGTCCCATCCTTCCTGCCCCTTCCTGGTTCTCACTCTTCTCCTCACCTTTCCAGGCAGGCAAAGAGGCCAGCCTTCCCTCCGACGGCGCAGAGCACTTTTGGGGGGCAACGAGGGCGCGTGGTCAGCACTGTCTGGTAGGACAGTCGGTGCTCGGGCATGAAGTGGTACTTCAGGGCTTCATTCAGGAGGTGCTTGCAGGTGTGGTCATCACGGATGAGGTGGTTGGCTTCATAGAGGCGGGTGAGGAACTTGACACTCAGTAGAGGCAGCCGCACGCAGTGAAGGAGCTGGGCCAGGTACTTCTGCCGTTCCTGAGCGTCGTACTTGATCCAGGACTCCAGGGCATAGAAGACCATCTCTTCAGTCACCACATTCAAGCAGTCATTGGAGACAATTTCGTCCAGTTCGGAATGAGTCAGTTCAAAAAACTCCTCCGTCTGACAAACCTCTTCAAAGTTCTGGCAAATGTACTTGCTGGCGGCCAGGTAAAGATCATGGCAGCCATACGTCTCAGCAAAACGGGAGATCCCAATGCAGTTCCCAGGGTCCAGCTGGCTCTCTAAGAAGCTGCAGCACTCCTTCAGCACCAGCTTGATCTGTAGCAGGTTGGCTGCGGGCAGGAGCGACTCCACAGTATCCTGTGAGATGAAGACGGTCCCCGTGTACGCGTACTCCACAATGGCTTGGAGGGCCGCCTCAGCAATGCACTGGAACTCCACCTCTGTGTTCTCCTTCTCTGAGAGGTTGCCACTGAACATAGCCTTGAAGTAGGGGCTGATGCTGGCCAGCACCACTTTGTGGGCATGGATCTTGACATCTCCGACACGAAGGATGACATCACAGAGCTCATGGTGCTGCCGAAGAAGGTTCAGGCCCTGCAGAAGCTGCTCTGAATGCAAAGGGGTTAAGTTGGCAACCATGTAGGTTGGAGACGATCGGTCCATCTGTGGGAAAGAGGCAAACAGAGTGAAGCACAGCTGAGGCCAGAAGCAGATCTATTTTGGAACATGGAAATGTATTTCTACACACTGCCATCAATGCTCATAGCGTCTTACAAAAATCAAGAGCATAGGCCCCTGTCCCAGAAGGTACAAGATCAAATATTCAAAATGGTGCCCTTCCCATCCTCCATTCAAGACAGATAAACTGGATTATAATCTAGATAATAATATTATTTTAGCGTATGAAGTAGATCCCACATCCATTACCACCCCTAGCAGTAAAAATAAGTAAATAAATACAATAAACACACTTAACTAATTAACAATTTACTGTCCTTTCATGACACCTGAAACCTGCTGATTGAGGCAGTGGCCTCATAGTGATCGGTTCTGATAAGACTCCCACCAATCTGAAAAGGAAGAATATTAGTAATAACAATGACTTATTATCATTCTTAACCTTGGCATACTTTGTCCCTTCTGGGACTCTGGATTTCTGATATAGGAGAGGAGGAGAAAGAGAGCAAAAATAATCAGAATAACTCTAATATTAATCATATATACACACACAGAAGAAAGCCAGCATGGTGTAATGGTTTGGGCGCTGGACTAGGACTCTGGAGACCAGGGTTCAAATCCCACCTCAGCCATGAAACCCACTGGGTGACCTTGGGCAAGTTACATTCTCTCAGCTTTAGAGGATGGCAATGGCAAACCCCCTCTGAAGAAAATCATACGATAGGTTACCTTAGGATCATCGTAAGTTGTTTGTAATCATACTAAAAACTGGACTGGGAAGTCAGTGCTTCCGGGACAAATTACTCTCTGGCCTCTCATCAGGGATGGTTCCTTTTTATATATATCAGAGTTAAAGTACAGTACTTATTGACCCATGGATAAGTCAACTCAGGTTTTGAGGGTCATTTTTTTGACTAACATTTCTAGACTTACACATGAGTTTATACAGTATTACAATAGTGAAACAAATTACTTGTTCCAATAATAACATTACATTTAAAAGGATAAAAGTGTTTAAAAGGTAGCCTTACGTTTAGCCTTCTCTGTCAGAAAGCTTTGCTACCTCACAAAACTACAATTCCCAGGATTCCATAGCACTGAGCCATGGCAGTTAAAGTGATGCCAAACTGGATTATTTCTGAAGTGCAGATACAGCCTAAGCAGAAGAAATAATAATAATGTTATTAATCCTGACAAGTTCTGCCATTCTGAGGCTCTAAAGACATTTTGGCCAGGAAGAGGGAACAACAAATATTTTTCTTGTCATAGTCATCATTAATAAACCCTGCAAGCTCCCTCTAATCCCTGGCAGGAAGGAACTGGTGATCTTATTTATTTGCTTATTTATTTTATGTTCCCCCTTTCTACTAGATTGGAATTCAAGAAGGAAATAAATTTAAAGCTACGCCTGCAATCTAAAATCATCTCATTTAAAGCAGCATACAGTAGGGTTCACGGAGCACAGGACTCCCATGAAAGTCAAAAAAACACAAACTACTACTTTCTTTAGCCTGAGTATGAATTTAGCACAGAATAATGCTGGAGGACCTACAAATTCCTAGAGAAAGTTTCTCTCTAGGAATCTCTAGGTCCTCCAGCGTGACTGTATGGTCAACTTCTGGCAGAGTTTCAGCAGAATTTCTCTGGAGGACTTAGCAATTTCTAGAGAGAACATATTAATCAAGTCCACAAAAGTCAAAGTCTCAAAAGTGGAGGGCCAACAGTAAAAATATTTTTTAAAAGCATATTTGAATTCGAGATGGGGGAATCTTTGTTGAATCGGAAGGGGAAAAGTGACAAAAGATGTAATATTTACATAGAATACAAGGGTCTTAATGTCAGGAGAAGAAGGGAAGTAAAATAAAAAATTATTAATTTTGGAACCTTATGCTATACAATGCTGAAATGACTTAATGAATCCAGAAGTTTATATATGTAAGAGAATTATGAAATGACGTCTGAAAGCTTGTGAATTTACTGTCCCAATAAAAAAGCCTCTCAGGTGCTGTTACATATTAAAAGATAAAAGTCTTTGCCTGCCTCCTGTCTCCTCACCAAGTGATATTGTTATATTATCATTACTGTCATCAGTATTATAATTATTATTAATATCATTGTTGTTGCGTGCCTTCATGTCATTTCCGATTTACGGAGACCCTCAGGAGAACTTACAATTGATTTTTCTTGGTGATTTTCTTCACAGGTTTGCCATTGCCTTCCACTGAGGTTGAGAGAGTGTGACTCATGCAAGGTCACCCAATGGGTTTACATAGCCTAGCTGGGATTCAAACTGTGGTCTCCAGAGTCATAGTCCAAAGCTTACCAAGAGATATTATTAGTAGTATTATCATTAATATTAACATTATTGTCATTGATGTTAACAATATTATTACTAATACTATTATTACATTGATTATAGTTATTTATATCCTGGTTTTCCTGCTCAAACTTGAGGCTCAAAGCAGCCCACAATTCAAATGATCAGCTTGTTAAAAACTTAAGCTTTAATACAGGAATAAACTATTGAACTATTCATTAAATATAATTAAACTATTTAAAAGCAAAATAAGAAAAAACAATTTAGAAAAAGAAGGGGAGAGAAGAAAGAAAAAAGCTTTTTAAAACAGTGAAGAACAAGTGCTTGCCTTCTCTCTTATTTTAATCAGTTTATTTACTTTATTTTTTTTTTTTTGATTTCTATCTAGCTTTTCTCCCCTAAAGGGACCCAAGGCAGATCACAAATAAAAATTGTAAAAAAATATTACAATAAAACAATTAAAATATCATCTAAAAACAATATAATGTATTGTGACCTGCCTCCTGTGTCTCATGGAGTACTGTTATTATTAATATTTATATTAACAATAATGATATTACTATAAATTTTATTGTCATTAATATTGCTTTTATTATATTTATTTGTATCCTGGCTCCACCCCACCCCCCTAAAAACTGGGGCTCAAAGCATCCCACAATACTAAAAAAAAACTGAGCTTTAACACAGAATTTAAGTATAATTAAGATTAAGCTATTCATTAAACAGAATGAAATGACTGACAGTAAAAGAAAAAAAAGGCAATTTAAAAGGGAGGAAATTTAAAAGGGCAGGAGGGAAAAGAAAAAAGCTTTTAAAAACCGTAATTATTTTCTTATTATATAAATATAATAAACAATTGACAGCAAAAGAAAATAAGGCAATTTAAAAGGGGAGGATTTAAATTTAAAAGGGGAAGATTTAAATTTAAAAGGAGAGAAAAAAGAAAGAAAACAACAAGCACTTCCCTCTTATTTTAATCAGTTTATTTACATTTATTTACCTCTGGTGTCCCTGCTTCCTGTGTCCTCACCAAAAACATTAGTAATACTGTCATTACTATTATTAATAGCATTATAAATATTATTATTGATATTATTATTGCTTTTATTATATTTATCTCCTGGTTTCCCTCCTCAAAATTGGGCTAAAAGGGGCCTACAATTAAAAAAAAATTAAGCTTTAACACAGGATTAAAGTATGAACCTATTCCTTAAATAGAATTAAACTATGGACAGCAAAAGGGAAAAAAGGCAAGTTAAAGGGGGGGGGGGGATTAAAATTTAATATGGGAAGGAAAGAAAACAGTGAAGAACAAGCGCTTCCTGCTTACTTTAATCAGTTTATTTACATTTATTTACCTCTGGTGACCATGTCTCTCCTCACTGAGTGCTGTTTATTGTTAATACTGTTGTTGTTGTTGTTTGTTGTTGTTGTTATTAAGGGGCCCATAATTTTAAAAAAAAAGTAAGCTTTAATACAGGATTAAAGTATGAACCTATTCCTTAAATAGAATTAAACTATTGGCAGCAACAGGGGGGGAGGGGAAAGCAATTTAAAAGGAAGAAAAATTAAAATTGAAAAGGGGAGAGAAAGAAAACAGTGAAGAACAACAAGCGCTCCCCTGTTATTTTAATCAGTTTATTTACATTTATTTACCTCTAGTGACCCTGCCTCTCTTCACTGAGTGTTGTTTTGTTGTTATTATTGTTGTTGTTGTTGTTGTTGTTGGGCCCACAATGAAAAAACAAAACAAACTCTAAACTTTAATACAGAATTAAAGTATTCAACTCTTCCTTAAACAGAATCAAAGTATCGACTGCAAAAGAAACGAAAAGGCAATTTTAAAAGGGGAGGAGAAAGAAAGAAAGAGAGAAAGAAAGACAAAAAGAAGGAAGGCAGCTCTTAGAAGGAGGGCCGCCATTTTGTGGCCCCTCACCCACCGGGGTCACGTGACTGCGGCCCGGTCCGGAGGGTCTCTCTCTCTCTCTCTCTCTCTTTCTTTCTTTGG